GAGAGAATGGTCAGAATGACCAGAGGCCTTAAGCAAAATGTACAAAGGAGATTGGAGTGTGAAACTGGGCTCTTTTCTTTTGAGGCAGCACACCACCCCCTGTAGTGCCACGGGCCGTAGTCCAACCAAGTTGTTAATGGGCCGACGCTTGACTACCCGTTTGAATCGGTTGTACCCGGATTTAAATGAACAGCAGCCAGAGCGCAAGGATACGCCAATGAAAGTGCGCATGTCCGAGGCCAGGGACAAAGTATTTGCCCGGAATTATGCTGGAGGGCACTCATGGCTCCCCAGAGTGGTGTGGTGTGCGAAAACATAGGCACCAGAATATATGTGGTCGAGCTGCCTAACGGCAGGAAATGGCGGCGCCACATAGACCAGCTGAGGAGGAGATGGGCGAAGGACAGCGCTGACTCTCCGACAGCAGAGTTTGCTGAACCTGAGTATGTATTCAGACCTCCAGACACAGAGGTATTGTTCCTGAAGCAGGGCAGACCCCTGGTTTCGAGGCTGCAACCCCAGCAGTGAGTGTGCCTGACCCAGTCATTGTAGAGCCCATAGGTGACCCACAGTTGAGTTTGCCCCCTGAGCCTGCACAGCTCCGCAGGTCTCAGCGTGCACGGCGAGCGCCATCGTACCTGGGCGATTATGATTGCAATAGACTGTATTGTAATGACTGATGCATATATTTTTGGAAAACAGTGAATGTATGTTTTAGAAATGCTGCATTGTTTTAACTTGGGGGGAGGAATTGTGGTGTATTCAAAAAGACTTACATGAATCACTGCATTAACTCTCCATGGTAAGCTGGAGCCAGAGGAAGGCTCCTCCAAGCCAACTTGCTATTGGTAGCTCCACAACAGCAACCAATCAGAACTCTACCAATTCGGGAAGGACTTTCATTGGAGTTATCTGCACAACCTCATTGGTTGTTTATTATAAATAGGCATGGCTACGTTAGCCCAGGAATGTTTAAAAGGAGCCTAGCTCCCAATGTTAAGTTGTTCTGGTTATGACTTCTTTCAAGCGCTTGTTCCTACCTACAATAATGCTGATCACTTTTGTTGAAATTACTCTCCGGTTCTTTGTTAGCAGCGATCTAACATCTATTAATTTAATGATACCACTTTTAGTTCGTGTCACCTTGAATGCAGCATATGCATCTTAAAAATGAAATCTGCCGATGATCTACGTTCATACAAATACAGAGAGCACACACTCTAGAGACCCAACAGTAAATAATTAAGGGGAGTGGCTGTAACTCCGAGAACTGCACCGCAGAAAACGTCCGTAGCATACTCCTTGATCTAATACATAGTCCTTTCTTCTTTGCTCACCCAGCACACACAGCCGACAGGATAAATTGTGAAAGGGCACCTGTCTACAACATTAAGGCAGCGGCGGGGAACTGGCAGGTCCCTAAAACCACCCCGCTAAGGGACCGCCGCGACTACTTCGCTCTTCGCATACATATTAAGTGTAACCACTGCGGAAAGCCACATTCACGTATCTTCCCGTGGGAACAATAAAATCATTCTGTTTGCTAAGCGGGCGAGAAGTTCCCTGAACACTAGAAGCCTGACCCGGGCGCACGGCTATCGCCTTCTCTGAACCAGTCCAGCTCATTGGAAAAGCCTTAGCAAATCACGGCTACGGATACAGAAATGGAGCCAGCCTATTGGCCGCAACGGGAGCAAAGACACTCTCTTAGTCTTTGCCCGCCCCTGAGCGCCTCCGGCGATTTCTTGCCCGATTCGGATCTCCTTTCCCCCACTCTGGCCATGGTCGTTTGCGGAAAATAACGACTGAAGGGACTGACCTGGCGGAGCAGCAACTGCTGCTCTCGTGTAACGGGACTCATGGCCGCCGCCGCCGCCGCCATGATTTGAAGAGGCCGCCGCTGAGGCCCCTCCTCCTCCCACGAGGCTGCTGCTCGCAGGGAATGACGCTTCAAGCATTTATTCGGGCTTGGAAAAGACTGGCGCGATGCGCAGGGCCCCAACTTCCGGGGGGATGGACGATGCCGAAGGGCGCCATTCACCTGTGCTCTCTAGGGGCGCGCGAGTAGGGCCCTCCCTCTCTCTTGGCGCTTAAAACTCGCCGTTTTAAAACGGGGAAAGGCGTTCTATTCTAGACAGGGAGCGCCCAATATGTTGTAGGGCTCGGGTACCATTCTTGCTCGGGCAAGAAACCGGGGGGGCGGGCGACTACATTTCCCATCAACCTCTAGAAAAGGCGTTACGCAGAACAAAGGAGAGCGCATGCTCCTTGCCCGATAGACCCTAGTCTCGACTGTTGGTGGTACGAAAAGGTTTTTTGATATATTTATTGTTTCCGGAAGTTCATATAGTTGCTAAGCTCTCCTTGTAATTTTTGCTGTTTGTGTTTGCATAGTGGAGCCTCCCACCTACAATAATTCTCCTAAATCTTGGTACACTCTAAAATGCACGTTTGTCAGTTCTTCTGATATGGCACTACCATGTATCCTCACAACTACCTGCCTTAAGTCTTGATCAGTCTTCATTTGTTATACTACTCTCCTAGTGTACTCCTTCTATACTTGCAGTCATGGAGAGAAGATGCACTTTCTGCCATGCTATTTATTTGTAATGGTTTTAGCCCACCTTTCTCCAAAATTGGACTACAATCCCTGCCTAACATAAATGGATGTTCTGCCTCCTCACCTCCTGATGAAACTAAAATTCTGCTCACTGCTGTAAGCAAAGGGCACAGTGAAGCAGCATGGTGGTGACAGGTACATGAAACAAGGCCTTTCACTGTCTTGAAATCTTAAAGCAGCAGCCAGACAGTGCAATCCTCCACATAATTACTCCGTTGATTTCAGTGGGCTTAGACAGCAGTAACTCCGCATAGAAATATACTGTAAAACAGCAGGATTTTGTGAAAGGATTATGTGAAAGGCTCCACGTGATCCTACTTCAGCTTTCTCTTTAAAAACAGTGCTGGGTCCCACATTAAGGAGAAAAGGGATATGACATTTTAGAATAAAATTAGTATAAATTAACTGTGAAGATTACTTAATAGACAGATTTAGAAATTTTCTGATATAATGGTAGTATTTCCAGTCACTTTTATTCAATGACAAACACTAAAATGTAAGTTATGCTGAAGATTAAAAAATAATAATAATCGTAAATCAGGAAAATTTCAACCTGTAGGTGAAACTGACTCCACAGCATGGGAATGTATTTCACCTTTAACTCAACAGAGCAGAAGTTGAACTCAAGCCCATTTCTGCTTGGTCATTCAGATGTCCAATACTATAAATCCAGACAGTTTCACTAACATTTCCTCAGCCCTTTGCCTTTTCTTTTTTTCAGCATGGCAAAGTCCCAATAAAACAGTATTGCACAGATGAAGAAGTAGATATCTGGGGAGACAAAACAAACAAGTGATATTAAAAAATTAAGGACAATTTGAAGTGTATAAAAGCAAATGCATTGAACTCTACAACACTTTGTACTATTTGTAAGAAAAGCTTATTAATGAGTACACACAGATTTGCCATATTTCCTTATGACAATACTGGTAAGTATTCCAGAACATTTTGCCAGATTTATATAGTACCATTAAAACACAAAATCTGTACCCCTTTCAAATAATACATTTGGATCATTATTGAGTTTCCTGGACCAGCCTCATGCATCCTATCCCAATACTGAGTCTAATTTGTAGGGAACCCCTTTTAGAAGCAATAAGCCATCCCATCCTCAACATAAACCAATTCGGATATGAGCCTGTGCATCATAAATAAACTTTCAGAGAGTTATCAGGCAGACTTTTTGAAAACAGATAAAGCTTGTCTGAAAATATATTTTTCTTGCATATAAACGCCGGGTCCCAACATTTCATACTTTATCAAGGAACATTCCAGCATGGATCTATCAAAATTCAAAGTCTTAATTTTTGAACTGGAGTAATTTTAATTAAAGGGTAGATCTTTTAACAGCATTTCAATAGTCTGCTTTTACCGAAAACTGTAAAACTCATGTTAAGCTGTGTGATGTTTTTATGCCATTACTGGTTTTTTAATGCTGGGTCTTAATGGTGTTATGTTTTTGTATGTTATGTTGGGTCTTTCATGGTGTTAGGTTTTTATAGCATTTTATTTTGGAAACTGTCTTAGGCAGGTTCCCTGGAGAGGCAACACAGAAATTTTTCTGAACACACAATCCTTTTTTTTTTTTTTGAGGGGGAGTGGGGAGACATAAAGCACTATATTTGAAGATAGTGTTGCAGTAAAGTCAAAACCTTTTATTTTGGAAACTGTCTTAGGCAGGTTGCCTGGAGAGGCAATACAGAAATTTTTCTGAACACACTAAGAAATAAATTATCAAGGGCAGGTTCAACATCCACCCTAGTGATGTCTTGAATTCATTTTTCTTATATAAGTTAGCTGCTGACAATCCTTTTTTTTGGAGGGGGAGTGGGGAGACATGAAGCACTATATTTGAAGATAGTGTTGCCCCCTTCCTCTGACTAGACAACACAGCCTCCATGGACCGTACAGTGTGTCTGTGTGCCTCACACACACATACACCCTACAGTATCAATTTACTTGTCATTATGATAGGCCATTTCTTTAACATTTTATAAAACTCATTGTACACTGCCTTCTGCAAGGATCTCTTAAGATAAACCTCTTCAACAAATAGTATTTCAGTATTAAATACATTAACTTGGAACCCAATTCATTCTATTAGATTCTTTTGTTAAAATATCATATTTACTCGAAAGGAAGATGATTTCCCCCCCCCAGTAATATACAAAAAATATTATTACTGGACATAATTGTAATTTGTATGTGATTGTAAGATGACCACCTCTTTTTTGATGGCATACCTGGAAAAAAAAACTAGTCTTGCATTTGAGTAAATGCAGTATGTAATATGGTTTACTAATAATTTATAGCCCAATTTTATATTTCTCAGGGTGCTAGGCTCCCACTTTGCTGGCATTAAAATACTTTGAACTGGTACCAGCAGTTGGCTATGCCATATGTTTTGCTGCAAAGCGTCTACCTGGAAAAAAACTAGTCTTGCATTTGGGTAAATATAGTATGTAAGTAAAAAGGTAAAGGTTCCCTTGCTCAAAAGCCAGTTGAATCTGACTCTAGGGTTGCGGTGCTCATCTCTGTTTCAAAGCCAAAGAGCCAGTGCTGTCCAAAGACGTTTCCGTGGTCATGTGGCCGACATGACTAAACACCAAGGCGCACGGAACGCTGTTACCTTCCCACTGAAGTGGTACCTATTTATCTACTTGCAATTTCTTGCTTTCGAACTGCTAGGTTGGCAGGAAGTATATAAGTACAACTTAATAATAATTTATCGCCCAATGAGGGCATTAGTCTCCCACTTTGTTGGCATTAAAATATTTTATAATAGTACTAGGAGCTGGTTGTGCCATATGTTTTGTTACAAAGCACCTATCTGGTGAGCCCGCCTTGGTGGGGAGGGCGGGATATAAATCGAACAAATAAATAAATAAATAGTATGCAAGAGATTTGTTAAGATGGGGAAGAGACAGCAGTGTTGCTTTCCCTAGCACTGTACACTCTATTCTAAAGGATGTTGTCATGATCATTCTGCTTCCATTTTGCATCCCCAGTCTCGCTCTCTCCTTGTTATGTGACCAGGCTGTCCATCCATACCCTCCCTCCAATGCTGTGGAAATCACTGTGATTCCCCAAGAGGTACATCTCAGCATTCTGACACTCAGCTTCAACTGGGTAACCTAGGTGCTGACCAGAGTTCTCTCTAAGCTGAGTTAGTGTGAGCTAGCTCACAGTTTTTTAGCCTCGAGCTCACAGATTTTCGCTCTAGCTCAGGAAGGATGGCCTCAAAGCAAACTAATTTATGCAGCAACCAAATGGCTCGCTCACAACTTTAATGCCCGTAGCTCACAAAGTAGGATTTTCGCTCACAAGACTCCACAGCTTAGAGGGAACATTGGT